TAGCAAGTTGCAAGTTAGATATCACCTTTGGGCTCATTGGTTTCAGACGTTTTACATAGGCCAAATTTTCGCGAGTAGGAGGTTAAAGTGACACTTCATCGTTTGAATTTTGCTTGATTAATAGACGTTTACAGTTGAGAACAAAAATCACTACACGGGTGCAATATAAAGCCCATTTACCTTATCTTCAACATTGTAAATATCACTAAAGCATGGCAAAGATTCGATAACTCCGATTCGGTAAGATGAAAACTTAAACTAATATTCCCATGTGCGCTACGTGCTTTAATACAACATTGGCTATCGATGCGGTGGTCGTAAACACGCTTTCAGAGGTTAACGCAAAAATTGTTTTGCGGATTAAAATTTGGGCAAACATCGTTATTAGGATTATTACATAGGTACGTAGATAAGCTGGAAAGGTAGATTTATTGCACATTGTGTACGGCGCGATGCCCAAGGCAAGGCATCATGTATCGTTATTAGTTACAAAATTGATTTTGTTTATTCGCAAATGGCGTCATTGTGTCCTTATCTAGTTCTGGTAATCGCAGGGGAAACATATTTGCAATCTATATAAAAAAAACTTTGAAACTTTCTCTCTTTATTAAGTATATAGGACTATGTAGTGTATATGTCGTAGGCATTGTGTATAATTCGTCATTTTATAAATGCCTGAAAAGCAAGCGGTAGATTGTAAAATACGAGCACTAACGCATTCATTTTTACTATCTGCCCGCGTAATAAAATGACGAGTTATATAAAGTGGCTACGATATATATGCTTTATTCTATACAAATTAATTAAATTGGGTTCATCTTTTTGAATAACCCTGTATCATTATGCATATTATAGTTATAGTACACATTGGCAGACGGACAGACAGGCAGATAGACAGAAATACACAATTATAAACGATATTGATGATCGTTAATAAACCGTAAACGTGTAAGATTATCGTACATGAAAAAACATGTGTTTTATACTTACTATTACATTTTTAATAATAAACGCAGAAAACATTCCTGGCGCCATAACGAACCAAATAGCGAAAAAAGTAAAACAATAGCTCGTTTTAACAGGCATGCACGCACACTGTGTTTACGTTAAATAGTTTTCGCTATAGTTCGGACGTTTTTCAGTTTTTCGCTTAAAACTCGAAAACGGTCCATATTTGATGAATAACACTTCTTTAGTAAATTAAAGAATACACAATTCTACGTCGATCAAAGGATGAACAAACAAAATCGGTCCAATAGAAAAATTTTTACAAGCGATCAAAGAAATCCCCGTCAATTCCTGGAGATTCACGGAAATCCCTGAAATCGGATAAAATTCCTTATAAGTCCTCAAAAATCCTTTCGAAATCTTCTTAAATTCTTCCCCGCATACTTGCTTTTGGCACCCCATTCCAATTTTTTATTATCGCCGCTTTCATATAGAAAAACCTACGATTCGTCACGCACCTTCTCACAGGTGTTATAAATTAATAACAATAGTCAAATACAGTTTATTTTTGGACGAGCCAAAGAAAGCTATTTCAGTGACAAAATGTAATTGGAAGGTAGACAAGGAAAGTCAGATTTTGACTTTTTTCATGTGAGAATGAAAATTAATTTAGAACACAATTGCATGGGTTAAAGAATTGTAGTTTACATGTCTATCTTATCAGGAACGACTTCATTCGTTCAAAACAATTATTGAAAGGTAAAAGTGACCGCATGTGCAGATAAGCGAATCAGGTGATTAATCTCTACCTGCTTACGTTACCGCCCCTCCATCAAAAATATAACTTATGACCAAATCATTCGATCGTGTTAACGCGAAGTGCAGTGCATCTTGTGCGGAATGGTCCCCAAAAATTTCAAATGGTTCGAAGAGTGCCTAGTACCGAAAGCAAGAAAGCTAAGGGTGAATTTTGACAAGCACAGATTAGGTACCGCGTAAAATGCAGTAAGTAATTTGGATTTTTACATTTAAACATTGGGCATACAATGCAAAATTATTTTGGAGTTGGACAATAGGTGAACTGTGACTAAATATTGTGTATGGAAATTTACCTCCCGTTAGTTTCAATCAATCATTTTCCAAATCAAAAATGTATACACGACAATTACAATCATCTTATCTATCCAACTCTAAAATTGGAAACACATGTGTAGTCCATTGCGTCGACGGCGTCGGCATTTAAAAGTCGGTTGATAATTTCATTCTAAACAAAAACCACATTTGCCGTTTTATTAGCTTTAATAATAATTATCGCAGAGTGTACTAATTTTGAATTAATTTGATACGAGTGAACCAAATACCTCTTTCGCAAAATGAAATGTCTTGAAATCGAAACATGCAACTCAAAATTATTGTGTCACTTCATGCCTAAAAACTGTATGAAAAGGGTGACTAGCAATAAATTTCATTCTTTCTCTCTGTATTCATGTTAAATCCGGGTCCTTATTAGAGGTATTTAATTGGTCCAACTATTCATTCAATATATCAACGTACCTATTCACAAACTTCTTTAGAGTTGAAGAATCGAAAAGTGGATTTCCATTTTTCGCATATTCAGACCAGATAATTTTGTCTTGAACTTGTATTATTACCTCTTGTATGAGTGTTTAATGGTATTTGTCTCAACAACCATCATAAACGGAGCGATTAAACTTGCGGCTATACCCAGTTTTGGGGTATGCCTTCTGATCTGTAAAATTCCTACCCAAGGAGGTGTTTTTTTGATCCCCAAACGACGCCCCTAGGCCCTAGGGATGTTGTAAAGCACATTAGAAATGCTGTAGTAAATTCAAATTCATTAGCCGCTTGCGTAAAGACGTAGTTTGGATAAGTGTAACATCTAAAACGACGGTTTTAGAGATGTTTTATATTTCGAGAGCTATTTATCAAACCAAGCTCATTCAATTTGACATGAAAAGTAACTAAAAATCTACTGTAGTTGAAGCGTGTTTCGGAAGTGAAATTATTATTTGGGGTAACGCAACCACAAACGATGACATTTGGGAATACAAGTTTTGCAGTACTTTTTAAAGACAAGTATACTTTATAATTTAGAAATAACTTGAAATAATGTAGAAGGTCCAAAATGTCCAAAATCATTAGTAGGTAACGCAGCACCTTACAATATATATGAAAATGAAATACACTTTCGCCTTGCCAGATATTAGATAAGGGATTGACCTCTATGGCATAAACGTCACAAATGCCGCTGCTTAGTGACATGAGGGCATCAGTTGCAACTCGGATGTCCTAAGATCTTTAGGAAGGCCGAAAGGGGTAGTAGATTTTATCGTTCCTTTAGTTACCACAACGCATTAAAAAAAGGTTAACTCTGTTCTTTAGAAAAGTTGGAAAATGGGGGTTTATTGATCGCTTTTAACAATTTTTCTATTGGATCGATTTAGTTTGTTTTCTTTTTTTACTAAAGAAGTGTTATTCATAAAATATGGACCGTTTTCAAGTTTTAAGCGAAAAACTTAAAAAAGTTCAAACATTTTGAGGTTTTTTGGCTGCCAACAGTTGTGCCGGGAAAAAATTGCCGTGCGCTCTTCAAATCCATGTTATTTGGAGCCAAATGGACCATTTAAAATAATAAAATCTTTTACACCACATTTTGCAGGTCAAACTTACTGAATACTGAACTATATATAATTGCAACTTATTTAGTTCAAAACGAGAAGTTAGAAAATGTAATTTTTTACTACAACAGAATCAATCCATCTTTATTAAGCGTTCATTTGCCATTAGAATCCATTAGTCATTTCGCCAGCTTACGGATTAGTCAAAGGACTGAATTAGAGAATCCGCAGTCGCATGTAGTACATTACTTCTTTGATTGGAAATAATAAATCTGATTTTTTGTCGTCCCAAAGATTAGCATTTTGAATTTTAATAAGAAATTTTGTACTGCAGTTCAACAAAATTCACTTTAACAGATAAGTATGTTATCGGCATCTTAACCTTGGTTCTTGTATGATGTTTTTACTCAGTGAAATACGTAAGTTTTCACAAAATCAAATGTACGTATTTCAAAGATTGGGATTTAATGTTGCCATTCACCCTGTGTGTACCCGAAAGGCCAAACTTAACGTGCAGGTTATCTGCCAAAAAACGTTATTTTGAGTTATTTAGGATAGGCCAAATATCGTCTTTTAGCGACTTTTACACATAACCTGCGCCTTCAGTTTAACATTAGTGATACACCACAGGGTTGTCCATTCTACTCTACTTGAAGATAAAATAATACCATAGTATAATACAAAATAATACCTACTGTAAGTTACGAGAAATGATTATAGAGCACAGACAAAATACTATTTTAATCTGTGATTATAGCATATATGCTATAACACGTAATTAAACAGATGACCTTCCGTTATCTGTATCGGACCCATCAACTAATTTCATAGCTTGTTTTTTTGCAAGTTTCGCCGTAAACATTTTGGAATGGCGTTATCAAATGCATGATAAATAAATCAAAATGCAAATAAAAGATAAAAGTATATTTGGAGCGGAAAAAGTTCGTTTCAAATTTAATGTCGTCCCCAGATCAGCAAGAGTTTTTGGCTGATATTTGTAATTATTTGGATGAAGTTATCGAATGTTTGCCATATAAGTGAAATGGCGCTTTATCAACAGTAATTGCTGGCATTTACCTTGCAAAATCACCTGTTGGCAGGACAACAATAAAACCATTAAAAAAACAGGATCGGAAGCAAGTGACAGTTGAATAAGGTGGAAAAACGAACCGCCTTTGTTTCATTATTATGTCGCAACCGGCAAAACGTTAAAAGTTTGAAAGGCATTTTTCTAATAATGATGAATAGGTCGGTTGCCCGCCACTGCCTTATTTTATTATTATATTTTTGGTCCTTCTCTTTCGGCTGAAATCAAAGGGAGTCCACTGCACTAACCCCCTCTACTTTTCTACGTGTTTTCCATTTCCAGTTTTCGGAGTTCGCCTTCTTCGCGTGTCATTCGTTTGCCGGTACCGGAGTTTTGTGTATCTCGCGCGTAAACCGGCGCGTATATTTACGTTACGCGAAAATGTGAATGAAGGTGCGTTGTGTGTGTGTGTCGTTTTGGAATGCAGTGCGGTAAAAAATGCCCTTTGTGCAGCGTGTGATCGAGCCGAAATTTGTAAGTCGTCCGTGCCTCTTCGATGCCGATGGTAAACCGAAAATAATTGATTATGAATTAGAGGCTGTTACAAATAATACATTAAGCAATGCGATACGGCAACTCGCATCGTTGGCTTTGGCGGCCAACGATATTTTTGTGGAACTTGCCAAACAACTTCAGCTGGTCAACGAGAGATCGGAGGCGATTAAAGGAAAAATTGGTGCCTTGGAGGAAAAAGTGAACGCCTTCGACCCTAAGAAGATTTCTGTGCGTAAGTATATCTACCGACCACTTGAAATCTTTGTCCGCTCGCGTTACCAGAATCGCTGCCGCCACGCCGAATAGGTACCTGAAGAACGACCGTTGCTTGTTTGCATTTACCTCCCGTGTTGCGTAAGCGTAACCGTTGGATGGAACAGGAATTTCGAGGGTAAAGGGAAGTCTATCGTCACGTGACGCGACAGCTGATAGGAAGGAAGTACGAACCCTCTTATGAGGGTATGGTATTATTATTTATCGCATTATCCAAAAAAATATTGTAGCAGAGGCCATGCTGCTCTGTCCATTAATAAGAGAAAGGAATCTTTTTTCTTTCGACCTCCATCTACTTTTTTTCTTCGACGAGCCCATTCATGAATGAACAAACCTCATATAATTACCTACCTACTTACCGAAGTCTACTTTCGTTTGTAAATTAATCCACCGAAACGTATTTCACGTTAACCAATCAACCACATTTTTCTTTTCTTCTTAATTAATTAGGTAGTAACTTGAGCCCTTTATTCAAATATTTATTTTCACAGGCCCAGACTCTCTAAGGATTTTAAGGTGTTATTTTCGTTTACGCCTGAGGGTATGTTCTACCTGCGCTTTGCTTTAATTTTCTAAGCCAGTGGCGTTCCCACGATTTTTGACTGCATTCTTTGTAAGATTAACCAAACGATAGATTTGATACGTTCGTTCTGAAATAAGTTAGCAAAAAACACAAAATCGCAATTAATTTGAGATAACTGTTCAAACCGACATTATTGAACATTCATACTCGCCTCCTTTTTAATTCAAGTTGAATGACATAACTTGATTTCGTGTTTTACTGACCATGGCCGCTTTAAAAACCGATTTTTAATTACAATTAGTTGAAATTAACACTTATTAAATATAATCCGAGAAATGTAATCTGTCATTTTATATCCTGTTAATTTATATACGGCATTGATAAGCCCACCTATCGATTTTGTTTGTTTATAAAATAGCGATAGACCTACCTATACTTGCTGTATTGAGTATTTAAATCATTTATATGTATGATGGTCATAGTAATAACTTCTAATCCTTCCTCGGGGCTAAAAAAAAATGGCAAGTTAAGAGCACAAATTGACCCCCGTGTTAAAACCGACTTCATTTTTGGATTAAACCGAGGATTATACCTACCTACTCGATTTAATAAAGACAGTTGTTGTCACTTTCGAAAATGTTTCAAAAGAAAGAAAAAAAATGAAATTTTCACAGAATCGCCAGAGAACCACTTACCATCTACAGTACTAAATCGGGTACGTAGAATCCTCGGTAGAATCTTCGAACAGTTTCTTACGGCCCTTAAAACCGTGTGTCGGGAATATTCCAAACCGGCGATTACAAGCTGCCAAATCGTCAATGCACGAATTGGCCATATACCAAGTCGGCGCCCGGTTATGTCGACGCTTATCAAGCCGGTACTCGGCCATACCGGCGCTTGGTCACGCCGACATATGGGCACTTGTTCAGTCGGTCACATTTTTCTATATGAAGGTTGTTTAACATTTTATTTCCCGTAATAAGGCAGCATTCAGCTCGGCATTCAGTTGTTTTTATTTTAGAAAACAAATGAGTAACGAAAAACATTTGAATTGTTTTTTAATGGCAGTGCATCTTTTCATTAGGCTCATTTAATAGAGATTTTTTTTCTCTTTTCGATGATATATCACGTTAGTGCCCTATGAAAATTAAAAAAAACTGATTACAATCACATCAATAACGTTAATCTAGATCTCCTACATCAAAGTAAAACAAATGAATGTGTACGTTTGTTACCATTTTAGTACTAATTTCATTTTGTTTTTAAGGTTTAATAAGAAACGTACACGTTCATTTGTTTTATATTGCCAAAGCATTACAGAAACACACTGTGGAAGTCGAAAGACGCCGAGGAATTTATAAGTTTAATATAGTGAAAATTACGAGGAAAATTAAGTTCCGAATATATTAACCTCGATATTAACTATACTGCGTTTTAATAATTCAATGCACACAAAAGGAAAGCATCCGGTTGATCGAGCGCCAGCAAGGCATAGGGCCGGTTAGTCAAGCGCCGATTAGTAGTGTAGGTACCAAGAGCGTGTAATCGAGGTAAGCATATTAGCTACCTGCGACCCACGGTTCCTGAGAAAAACTTTGACGTGTTGCTGTTCCTAAACAGCAAGTCAATATCTCAACGAATAATGCAGTTGCGAATTTTTATTGGGGATCACGTCGGATTTTTAGCCATTTTTACTACTCACGCGTTAATAAAGGAGATATTGAATTGTGGTAAAAAATGACTCCCATTTTTTTTACGGAAATACCCATTTGAAGCACGAGGAATCCGAATCAAACAAAATCTCAATGATGCCGGTCGGTCTGTCTGTCTGTACTGAACCAATTGGCACCAAGGTACGCGGGTGGTATCTCGGGCGGTATCTATTCTAGTCACAACAAATGTTTACGTAAGGGCTCTGCAGCAAAAAAAAACGACTTTATTTTTTATATACATACTCTTTTTTTTGTCAATTTCGGAAATTTTTCGTATAACGCACTTGAGCGATTCACGGGAAAAAACGAGGGGAAAAGTTTCTGAAATTTTCTCAGAATCGCACGAAAATTTAATTGTATAGTAAATCGGACTCGTAATGGGATGCGTACATTCCAAACATTACCACAGCTTCGTTCAGTTGCTCTTCTTTAGGCACCTCCAGGTTCGAAAAAGTTGAAAAAAACCAAACAAGACCCCCTTCGGAAGCCATAGCTACTTTTTTATCTCGTTTTTTTATATATACAGGGTTTAGAAATGATTTATGCATCGTAGGGATTTCCTAGGGAATTTCCTCGGTAATTTCATAAAATTAAAATATTTTCTCCTCTAATTATTTTATATAGCAAAGTTGTAAATAGGTTTCTTGTAGCTTGAACAATTGTAATTTTTTGATGTGGGAAATCTGAGAAATTAAAAAAATTACAAGTTATATTTCCAATTATAAATCACGATTTTTGTAAAAATCACTCGTGCCGTGAAAAAACTACAAGAAACCTAAATCCTAAGTTAATTAAGAAAGAAAATATTTCGATGTAAAGAAATTAGCATTGAAATCCCTTTTGTACGTAAACCGCGAGGTAAACCTGAGGGTAAACCGTTTCTACACCCTATATGTACCTATTGACTCGAGTATTGACTGATTGATTTCGGATCGATAGAGTATGGATGAGAGCAGACACCTTCCGCTTATGCGTGGACTTACGGTTCGGTATGGCAGCGAAACCGGAAGTGCAAGGTGACCCAATAGGCCAATGCACACTCTAATCCTTCCTTTATCTCACAAAAAACTGAAAGTCCATATCTGAAAATATAAGGGAGTTGGGATTATTTTTACATAGGCCAAAAATAAAAATAAATAAATAAGAAAGTTCTATGTTCATTAATTTCCACCCATAATAATTCAAACGATTCTACAGTTGCAGTTTTAGGTAGATTTTAGTAAAAATTCAGTTTAGTTATTTGAAACAGCACAGTTTAAGAAATTGCTGCCAAATTCTCACGGCATCGGCATTTGTTAAATAGTTCATTGCACTCAATTAAGATTTACAGTTTTAGGTTTTACATAAAGTTTTGCAATATTACGATCATAAACAGTAGGTACAAGACATTTAAATTTAAATAAAATAAATTTATTTCTTCTTCAACACGCAACGTAGGTACTTGCATATGGTTTTTAAATGTTTTATTTATGCTTAAAATTTTAAAGCACGTGGTCGAACTTCTCCCATTTCTCAAAAAATGAAAGTTTCCTTATTAAAACAGTATCTAAATAGGTTTTTTGAGCGGCTACTGGATAATAACCTCGAACGTTCGCTGTACTAGAAGTCTATATCGTATCGAGAGCTTAAACCTCGGATTAACCACAAAGAAGAATACCTACAACAAAATCTTCAGTTGTTACAAATCACGAAAATCGCTTATAGGTACATACGAGGGTACATTATCATAGAGTACATAGTATATTTTTAGTACTTAAATGTATTAACCTCGGTATTAACATTGTAGGTAGCAATTTTGGTAAATTCTGATCGTAGCGTATTTTGTGTCTATTCATCCGAAATTTTTCCAATTTGTGCCACTTTTTGTGGAACGATTGTCGTTAATTATTTTCCGAGAGGCTCTTTTCACAAGCAAAACATTAGTAATTTTTATATGCAACCATGGATTATGATCATTTTTGTCTTTAGTTTTGCCCGAGGTTTTGCCCAACCACTACATTTTGATTTAGTATACTTAGCAAACGAATTTCTTATGCATAACTTTGCGAAATTCTTACATATTTCTTTTTCTTTATGATTGAGAGGAAACCCAGATTTCAGTTTTGTTCATGATTGCATTTTTTCGAGCATTTTTTTCACTTGAACCATTTTATTCATGGTTGCGGTACAGTTTCAGGAACCCGTACTGCTTTAAGGACTTATACGGTCCTGCGGAACTCCTACAGATTGAAAATGTAACATTTCTAAATGTTCAAGCCTTTTATTTTATTGAGATACCACTTATGAATGACAATTGTGAATTGCCAATAATAACTAATTGCTTATTACAATTGACAATTGGCAGTTATAAGCGGCAATAGGCAATTATCCGTTGTAAATTGTTTCGTAATTTATTGGTACATTCAGTAAATTATCAGCAAAGCAATCACTAAATTGGCCGGCTTTTCATGTTTCTGTTAAACTTATCTAACAGATTATTTGAATACATTTATTTCCATGGAAAGTAAGTGTCAGATAGAGTTAACGGTAATAAGAAAAGCCGGGTCTTAATTTGATAAATGTATTTCATTAGCAAGTACACCCAGAATTGAGGTATGTAGTGTAGGGCCCTATATTGTAGATATTATTGGGATTGCACTGCAAAATTCCAGTTCTTAGCTGCAGGTAGTGAATACTGGTCAAAATTAGTATGTAATTAAATCAAAATTATGCAACGAAATAGGA